CCGGCGGTCCTCCCACGTGACGCGGCACGTGACGCGACCCGGAAGCCGGCGGCACCTCCGCGGAGGCCCGTTCCGTTAACGTGAGGCGGCGTCCGAAGCGGGCCCGGCAGGGCTCCCGGGGTCTCAGCGGCTCGAGCGCGCGGAGCCCGGTCTCCGGACGGCGGCGGTGGGATGTTCACGGCGGGAGCGGAGAGTCTGCTCCACCAGGCCAGGTGCGGGGAGCCGCGGCCCGGGCGTCCCTCCCCGCGCCTCTTCCCTGCGGCGCCTGCGGCTGGGGCTCGCAGAGCGGAGGCCGTGTGCCGGAGACTTGGGGGACGGGGGCGGAACAAGGTGGGTCCCCGGAGGAGGGGACACCTGAGCAGGAATTTGAAGGTAGCAGAGGTTTCTGTGATTATAGTGAGCAAGGTCTTTAATGTAGATTAAGTTCTCACGTCTATGAATAGGACAAAAATCTCTGGTCAAAATAACCTTTGAAAAATCTCCTAGAAAGAGATACGGAGATATTCATTGTGGATATGCAGCACCGTCTCCCAGTAAGTCCAGCACAGTCTGCCTCTCCTTCAATACTGGACAGATACTAGTTCATTTGACGTTAGGGACTATATTAAATAAAAACTCCTAGCATCTCACTCAGTATGTGACATGCTTACTCCAAAGAGCTTACCAGGAGACAAAGACTGAAACCCACTCAGAACTTCATTCCCAGCTCACATTCTACTCAAGGATGAAAGACAAAAGGAATAGCCCTCACTATTTAAATTTTTTTTTTTTCCTTTTTGTCGTTTTTACTGACCGGTAACAGGATCGCAACCCTCGGTGTCGCGCCCGTACCGGGGACCGGCAACGGGATCGTAACCCTCGGTGTTGCACCCGCACCGCGCTCAGCCAGTGAGCGGGAACCGGTCTCCACATGGGATCCGAACCCTCGGAGGGAGCGCCGCCGCGCTCCCAAGCGGCGCACTCTCCAGTGTGCCACCGGGCCGGCCCTTAAATTCTTATTCCTGTCTCTTTGTCTTCGGTTAATTTAAAAATATATCTAACTCTAAATCCTAACTATCACACCTTAGACTAAATTTCCCTTACATTTGAATGAGACTCCTAAAAGCAATTGATTTCAGTTCTCCTGGAATAATAAAATCAGAAAGGTGTTTTTTTTTTCCTTTTTTGTCTTTTTTACTGACCAGTAACGGGATCGCAGCCCTTGGTGTTGCGCCCACACCGCGCTCAGCCAGTGAGCGGGAACCGGTCTCCACATGGGATCCGAACCCTCGGAGGGAGCGCCGCCGCGCTCCCAAGCGGCGCACTCTCCAGTGTGCCACCGGGCCGGCCCTTAAATTCTTATTCCTGTCTCTTTGTCTTCGGTTAATTTAAAAATATATCTAACTCTAAATCCTAACTATCACACCTTAGACTAAATTTCCCTTACATTTGAATGAGACTCCTAAAAGCAATTGATTTCAGTTCTCCTGGAATAATAAAATCAGAAAGGTGTGGTGTTGTAAATTATGGGACTGATGGATCACTAAATCCCAGCGAGAGAGGAACCAGTTTAGATAATCACCAAATTTATCTTGTGGGGCACTGGGTGATGGAATCGCATTCCTCCCACAACACCCGGCTTTCTCTACTAAATAGGGATTTCCCCCTGTCCAGCAGTCATGCTTTTGTAGCTCAGAGAAGCACTTCGTTGTCCCTTGACAGTTGCTGACGTCCTCTTTGTTTAGGGAGATCCAAGATGAGGAGCTACAGAAGTTCTGTTCCCGGATCAGTAAGCTGCTGCAGAAGAATGACTTGGGGCCTGATGTGGTCGACTCCCTTCAGAGGCTTTTCCTCATTGTCTCAGCCACAAAGTATAACCGAAGGTGAGTGTAACACAGTGGCCCATGGGGTGCCCTCATCCACACCGAGATTGGTGCAAATGTTCCTTTGTCGTTTGAGTCCTATGTCCACTTAAACTAGTGCTGAAGGTTCTCACATATGAAATGCTCTATCCACCTGCCAGAGGGACCCAGGCAGCTCTCTGGGGTGCTGGGTGCTCTTGCCATGGGTGTGACGTGTCACCCGCCTGCCGGGATCTCACCTTCCAGGCTGGAGAAGACCTGTGTGGACCTGCTGCAGACCACCCTCTGCTTGCCTGCATGCCCCGAGCAGCTCCAGGTTCTCTGCACCGCCATCCTGAGAGAGATGTCACCCTCCAACAGCCTGACCCTGTCCTGTGACCACACGCAGAACACCCGGCAGCTGAGTCTGGTGGCCTCTGTGCTCTTGGCGCAGGTAAGGTAATTGTCACCGCTTCAGTTGGCTGTCTTACCCCAGGTGGTCCTGGGGCTTCGGGAGAACCCGACAGGCTGGCCTTCGCCCCCATGTGTGTGCCAGTGTGCTGCGTGGGCTCTCACGGCCTGGGTTCCCATTCCCTTCAACAGTTTTTATCACTGCCTTACTTGGGCCAGGATGCCTGGTACTCAGATTTGTCTGGAGCAAGCTGGAACCTGCCTGTTCCTGCTCCCCTTCTTCCTGTCTTCCCCCATCCCTTGGAAAGTCTAAGTCAGGCCGCAAGGTCTGGGCTGCTTTGCTGACATTCCTGGACATGCGTAGGGTGGCACTGATGATGCTGGTAGAGTGGCAGCCTTCACAATTGGACAGTGCCCTTTGTAAGTGTTTTCACACCTGATGACTGGTTGCTGTGAGAGGAACTCAAGAGAGGAAATGGATTTTAGTTTATAAGTGACATCCTTGGTAGAGCGAGCAGAGAAGTCTGTGCTCTCAGTAGCCGTTTTGAAGCACCTGCCTGCACCACTCCTGTCCCATTTGTAAGTACTTCTGGAAGGACCAGGGGCAGCCTTGTCCTTTGGCGACTAGGAGGCCCCTGGGGTGCACATGGTGACAGGCAGTGGCTCAGGCCCCTCATGGTACTGAGCAGCAGCCCTGAGTCCAGGCACAGTTGCCTTTAAAATTGTATGAAAGTATGGGCCAGCCTGGTGGCGCACTGGAGAGTGCGCCGCTTGGGAGCGCGGCGGCGCTCCCGCCGAGGGTTCGGATCCCATGTGAAGACCGGTTCCCGCTCACTGGCTGAGCGTGGTGCGGGTGCAACACCAAGGGTTGCGATCCTGTTGCCGGTCCCCTCCCCGGTACCGGCGCGACACTGAGGGTTGCGATCCCGTTACCGGTCAGTAAAAAAGACAAAAAGGAAAAAAAAAATTGTATGAAAGTAGAAAGAGCCACATAATGAACACCCTGCCTCCAGCCCCTCCTCTGCCCCCCATTCCCAAATCACTTAGAAACAAATCCCAGATATCTTAACATTTCTACCTACTTCTTTGTGTCTTGGGCCGGCCCGGTGGTGCACTGGAGAGTGCGCCGCTTGGGAGCGCGGCGGCGCTCCCGCCGAGGGTTCGGATCCCATGTGAAGACCGGTTCCCGCTCACTGGCTGAGCGTGGTGCGGGTGCAACACCAAGGGTTGCGATCCTGTTGCCGGTCCCCTCCCCGGTACCGGCGCGACACTGAGGGTTGCGATCCCGTTACCGGTCAGTAAAAAAGACAAAAAGGAAAAAAAAAATTGTATGAAAGTAGAAAGAGCCACATAATGAACACCCTGCCTCCAGCCCCTCCTCTGCCCCCCATTCCCAAATCACTTAGAAACAAATCCCAGATATCTTAACATTTCTACCTACTTCTTTGTGTCTTTCTTAAGGATAGGGACTCATCTTTCCTTCCCTGACAGTGTATTTGTGGAAGAGATTGGGTGGGTTTCTGTGGGCCCCACAGCCTGGACTAAGTGCCTGCCTCAGGAGTGGGGTCCCCCCTCCCTCTGTCCTCAGTGTTTCTGCACACTTCATCCAAGGGGCTTAATCCAGGCTGGGGGGTTCTGCCACATCTGCGGCCAGGTGCTTGTTCATCCTTCCTGTCCCGCTGTGACAGGAGCAGCTCTGGACGCTCAGCGTGTGAATGGAGTGACTCGTTAGGGGCTGCAACAGGCTGCTTTCTGTAAGAGGCACTTGGCTGCCTCTGCTCTTTGGTCACCCGGTGGTGCAGTGTGTGCACAGAGGGCACAGTGAGACAGGACTCGCCCTCTGTTCCTCTCTTTGCCAGTTTTCAGAGCCACGAGCTGGCTTGCACCACACCACAGGCAGCAGCGGGCACTGTTTTGGTTTTGGTGTCAGGAGGAGCTGGTGGGCGTCAGCGTGTTTGGGGTCTCGTGCTCCATGGCTGCTGTCATCCTAATGGGTGCTCGGCTCCTCTACTCCAAAGCCCCGGGAGCCTCCACAGGGTGCCCTGAGGCACCTTACGATGACCCCGGTAGTGCTGGGCTTGCTGCCTCGGGGGTATGGAAAGACAGCCCAGCTCGTCTGCTTCTTTTCCTGCCCTGACCTGGGACCAGCTTCTTGTTCAAAGAACTGTCACTTCTTATACTGGAAAATTGGAAGGGGATTGCTAAGCATGTGGGCTACGGAGTCATGTGCAGCCATTTAAAGACTGATATTTTACTCTATCACTGAAATTCTATTTTACCTGCTTGATTTAAAGAATGTACCTGATACATAAAACTGAAATTCAGCAAGCTGCATGTCATGGCCCCCAGGCTGAGAATGTGGACTCCGTCAGGCGGCCAGGCAGTGTGGTGTGCCCCGTATGAGAGTGTGCAGTGGGCAGGTGTCAGCAAACAGCCGTGCCCTGGAAGACAGGGGAAGGTGAGCCCTTGTGTCAGACGAGGATCAGGCTCAGCCTCACCATCTCTGTCGCTTACTGCTGTCTGGCTCTGAGGTAGCTGGAACCCTGAGCCTTACACTCACACCAGTGGCCCCTGCCAACCCGACTCTGAACCCACATGGGGAAGTCTTCCTCTGTGTCGTGTTAGGGTTTCTGCTGTGTGTCCCTTGAGAACTAATGAAGACAGCATGTCCTGCAGCTGTGGCCAGGTCCACAGCAGCTGCTACTGTGTTTTTAGTATTAAATCAGCTGAGTTCCCACCCCTTCCCGCCTTGGTGATGAGACTCCCTGGATAGGGAGGCTACAGGCTGGCGCAGGGACCTCTCTGCACTGTGCTGGGCAGGCTGGGCTCAGTGTCCTCCTTCCCACCCCCCTAAACAGGGGTCTTGAGAACTGATGTTCTCAAGGGGTTTCTTGCAGACTTTTGCAATGGGGGCAAGAGGTGATCTCACTTCTGCACTCAGGGCATGTCAGTGCTTCAGCACTTGGCCTGTTTGATTTGAAGGGTGACAGAAGAGAGGAGGTCAGAACCATGGGCCAGCATGTTCTGAAGGCCCTAGAGAGCCGGCAGCCCGAGGGGCCCAGTGTCAGACACCTCCTTCCCATCCTGTCGAAAGTGGTCAGCCTGGCCCCAGGCACCCTCCGGGAAGGTATGTGGGGCCCCTTCCTGAGAGGCCTGGGCAAGGACTGGCCTCCCCAGCTCCTTTCCTAAGGTGTCCCATGCATGGGGTGGCATGGAGAAGGCAGGTCAGGGAGTCTGGTGAGCCCCACAGCTGCTCTGGGTTGCGTCTAGGGAGGACTGAGTGTGGGGACTCTACAGGTCCCCATTGGGAGCAGCTGCCTGTTCTATGAGAAAGATCTTCTGGCATCAGGTGGGGCTGGGAGGCCCTGGATTTAACCATTACCCCCAGCGTGGTCCCCTCTGCTCTCTGCAGACCAGACCAACCTGCTCAGCAAGAGGCTGGTCGACTGGCTCCGCTACGCCAGCATCCAGCAAGGGCTCCCGCACACCGGGGGCTTCTTCTCCACACCCAGAGCCCGGCAGGTGAGACCAGAGCTGCTTTGGTACCTCAGGGACCCAAGAATCAGAAACCTCCTTCTGTGCTGCTGGCAGGTTCCCATTGACTCCTGTCCTTCCGCCTGGTTCCATGATGACCCCTCACTTCCTGCCTCCACTGCTGCGGGAGGGTCAGGCGGGGTCACTGCTCTCCCCCCAGCCTTGTGTGTCTTTGGGGATCTGTGGTCTGTGGCAGACCTGTGACATGCATCTAACCAGGGATCAGCGCAGCATTTTAGCATCTCACAGAGGGTGGGCCACTGCCCAGATCTACAAGGATATGGATCCTTACATGATGCCAGGCATTACAACAGGGCGGGGCAGTGCAGATCCCGGGCTTCACATCCCTGGGCCATGCTCGAGCTCACGTTCATGGAGAAGGAGGGGATCTTCTGCACCCTTCTGAGTAGCTGTGAGCCTGTCAGCTTTCTTCTTGGCTTCAGCACCCCCTGCCTACCCCAGCCCAGAGAGCCCTGTAGTCCCACCTGTGTTTCCTCCCACAGCCAGGCCCCATCACCGAGGTGGATGGGGCAGTGGCCACAGACTTCTTCACGGTGCTCTCCACGGGCCAGCACTTCACGGAGGACCAGTGGCTGAACGTGCAGGCCTTCTCCATGCTGCGGGCGTGGCTTCTGCATAGCAGCCCTGAGGACCCCAGTGCCCCAGATGCAGGTGTGCCAAGGGTGGGACGAAGGTGGCATCCAGGTCAGATGAGGGTAGGAGGCAGGTGGGCCTCAGTGGGACACGGGTACACCCCGGGTCAGGTGCAGGTACATTGGGAGTCAGGCGCGGGTGAGAGGCCAGGCAGCAGAGACCAGCTGCCTCGGAGCTGAGCTGAGAACACTGCCTGGCATCGTGGGCCTCCTGGCTGAGCCTTCAAAGGCCGTGGGATGCCCTTCTAAGATCCATGGGCGACCCTCATGTGATGCGCAGGAGAAGCCAGAGTAGTCATGTAAGGCGGACCCCCATAAGATAACTGGGACAACTTCACTGGATTTCTCGTCTACAGACCTTCAGTTTATAGAAAGTAAAACCAACTAGCAGTCTGTACGCTCTGTGTACTTGTTGTAGGCAGAAAACTTGACTACATTTGAGTGTTCAGTGCTGGGGAAAGCAGCCAGGGCGGGTTGTGGGCCCTGGGGGCTTGGCGTTGCCAATAGTGACTCGCCTCATGCCCTCCGGGAGGCTTCGTTTTTGGAGCCGCATCCCCGCCCTGCTGAGCGTTCTGTTCTCCCACAGATGACAAGTCAGAGATGGAGGGCTCCACCCTGTCTGTGCTGTCCGCCACCTCCACTGCCAGCCGCCTGCTGCCCCCCCGGGAACGGCTGAGGGAGGTGGCCTTCGAGTACTGCCAGCGCCTCATCGAGCAGAGTAACCGGCGTAAGTCCCTGGCTGAAGCTGGACCCTGCTCCAGGGTGCTGTCCCCCAGGCTCGACTCCTCCCATGGAGTGAAGCAGATGTTCACTGAGTTGCTGCCCAGCAGAGGCTGGGGTCCCCAGGTGGTTAGTTTCGGGCAGGGGTGCTTTTTGTTTCTGAGAGTCAACCCCAGGGAGCGCAGCTTTGGACAGAACCTGTGCTGTTCAGGCTGCACCTGAGTCCCCTGGTTCCGTGCCCTGCCCTGCCTGCACCCCGGTGGCAGTGGCAGTCCCCGGGGGCCTTACGTCTTCCCAGGGGCCTGCTCTCTAGCCCACCCTGCCCCTCCTGTCCCAGTCAGTCATTCACTGTCCTCACCTCGAGCTTCCAGAGCACAGGCACCTTCTCACTGGGTTGTTGTGAGGCCGAGGCAGAGACAGTTGACTTTCTTCCCTCCTCCCAGGAGCCCTGAGGAAGGGGGACTCTGACCTGCAGAAAGCTGTAAGTGGCTGGCGGGGCTGGCAGGGGAGGCTGGCGTGCTTGGCCTGTGTGACGTGGCCTTGGTGTCCCTGCAGTGCCTGGTGGAAGCCATACTGGTCCTGGACGTGCTGTGCCGGCAGGACCCCTCCTTCCTGTACCGCACCCTCTCCTGCCTGAAGGCCCTGCACGGACGGCTAAGCGGGGGGCTGGGCTGCGTGCGGGCGCTGCTGCCTCTTGCCCAGTTCTTCCTGGACCACGGTGAGCCGGCGCAGGGAACTCCACATGCTCGCGTGGAGAGTGCTGTTTGTCCTGATGGGGTGCTGTTCCTCCATTTTTAGGACACTATTCCTTTTATGGACTGCTGGGGCTAGATGGTGGGAGTTTTTAAATTTTTAGATAGCGACACCTTGTCAAGTTTGTCGTTCTCAAAACACTTGATGTGTCACTGGCCCCGAAAACCCAAAAGTCGGGGAACCAGCATCTTCCAAAAAGTGTTCTCCATAGCTGGCACTACTCACAGGAGCTGGTCCGTGGCCCCTGGGAAGGGGTAGCCAGAGTAGAGCTTACCTGGCCCGTGTGAGACGTCTCAGACGCTTTGGTGTCCTGGAGACACATATGGCCATAGAGACGTGGCTAGCGACCCTAAGCGGCCCCAACCAGCCACAGAGAAGCATTTCCATGCCAAGTTCAAGACACCAGTGTTGGGCAGGGTCATCTGCCCTGATGGATTGCGGCACTTTTCAGGGGAGGCAGCTGCGGTGGACTCGGAAGCCATCTACCAGCACCTGTTCACCAGGGTCCCCTCAGAACTCTTCCACAGCCCGATGCTGGCCTTTGAGTTCATCCAGTTCTGCAGGGACAACCTTCACCTGTTCAGCGGGAATCTCAGTGTTTTCAAGTTGAACTTCCCTAACCTCTTTAAGGTATACTCAGGCAGGGACGTGAGGGCCCAGCCATCTCCGCTCTTCCCGTGAGGGCTCAAGGCAGGTTCTGGCTGTGAGTGTAGAGCCTGCTGGGTCTAAGGCCTGGCATGTGGGGTGCAGGATGAGGTGGGGTGTCATTTAAAGTGTTGCTACCATCAGAGAAAGCCACATGCAGGCCCTTTGGGGAGGGGATAGTTGCCTGACTCGGTGAGTGTGTTCTCACGGAGCTCGTACAGGCTCGTCATCTAGTCGGATTTCCTCACCTGGGAGCATGGCCCTTGGTGCCATGGGTTTTTGATGTGTCTTTGGCAACCAGCACCTCACCATGTGGTCTTTTCAACCCAGTTGGAGACTTAGTCTTTTTCCTAGAGAGAAAAATAATGAAATGATTGGTTTAATCACTTGTGTGAAAGTGGATGCAAAAGCCAAAAAAAAAAAAAAAGTTTGAGGGGAATATTTCAGACTCCCAACCACACAGAGTAGGGAGAGATGGAGAGAGGGCTGACAAAGACACCCCTGCCTCAGGATGGTGCATTGGTGACAGCAGTAACGTGGTCGTGGTGGCTCGCTGCCTCTGTGACCTGAGCCGCTGCCCTTGTCCCTGCAGTTCCTGGCCTGGAACAGCCCACCCCTCACCTCCGAGTTTGTGTTGCTCCTCCCGGCCCTGGTAGACGCCGGCACAGCCCTGGAGATGCTGCATGCACTGTTGGACCTGCCCTGCCTGACCGCGGCCCTGGACCTGCAGCTCAGGTGGGCACTACTGTACCGCCACTGCCCCCAGCCCCTCCTCACCACTCCCGACCCACCAGCACCACGGCCCCTCCTTATTCCTCCTCTGCACCCGGCTGTCTCTGCCCTGCAAAGCCACCTCCAATGCAGAACACATCTCTGGCCCCTCACCACCCACTGAGGGCAGCCCCCAGCCCTGGAGATCAGCAGTGGATTGTCCCAGGGGCTTTGCCCCACAGTCCTTCCCCGTCACCCTAAGGCATACTGCTGGCTCAGGGCGCTGTGATGTTACAGTGGCATCTGCTTGACAGTGTCTCCCTGACAAGTGGGTGCCCCGGTGGTCAGAGGCCAAATTGGACTGTGATTGGCCTGAGCCAAGGGCCCATCTCCCGGCTTGGTCTCGGGCATCTGTCCTCTCACAGGTCATTGCCGGCCCCATCTGAGAGGCCACTCTGGGACACCTCTCTCAGGACGCCCAGCTGCCTGGAGGCTTTCCGGGACCCAAGGTTCCAGGGTCTCTTCCAGCACCTGCTGCGCACCAAGGCCAGTGGCACCATGGAGAGGTGGGGCCTTGGGCAGGGGATAAGCCAGGCTGTGGCCACGGGATGGGGCCTGCTGAGGTCCTGCACTGAGGCCTGGGTGCTTTGTGCTTGAGATGGGACTGTGTCCCCACTTCTCAACCTGGGCAGCAGCCATCGTCACCACCACCTAAGGGCAAGCCCACATCACTGAACGTCTGCTGGGTGTGGGTGCTGTGCTTAGTGCTTTCAGCGGCTCAGTTCAGTCCTCGTTAATCCTGCGAGGTTGGGGCAGTGAATGCTCCATTTGGCAGGTGGAGAGGCTGAGGCCCAGCACACCCCAGGAAGTGGGAGGGCAGGACTGACACTCGGGGCTCCTGACCCCAGCTCTACCCCTGACTGCTTCACTATCCCAGGTGCACTGATGTCTCCAGGCCTCCCGCCTTCCCTGCAGGCCCCAGCCCATGGGATCACATGGTTTTACGTGTTTGGAGCATGTCTGTGGTCAACGGGTGGGGGGTATGTGGCACTCAGTGGGCCACCTGCATGTCCCCAGGTTGACCCCACTCCACCGGTTGCTTCAGCCCATGGCCAGCTGCGCCCGTGTGGCCCAGTGTGCTGAGGCTGTGCCCACTCTGCTCCAGGTGTTCTTTTCAGCAGTGACCCAGGTGAGTCCACTGCCCAGGTCTCCCACCCTACGGGCTTCACACACCACCAGGGGGCCAGAGGGGCTAGCGCAGAACGAGGACTGTTGCATTGCCCTTGAATTCTGCAGAGAATCCCGTTCTGCTGCACCCGCTGTCCACAGCCATGGTGAGGATCAGGGAGAGTCACAGACTGCAGCCTGGCCAGGTCCTGTCTCCCATCCCCAGGATGGGGGGGTGAAGGAGAGGCCCTAGGGCCAGTGGCATAGCTGGGGCCAGTGTCCCCTGGTGCCTCTACCACCTTTGACGTGTGCAGGCAGCTTCATTCAAGACCAAAGTAAAGGTTTCCATAGGCCAGTGGTTCCCGCCTCAGCTGCTCCTGGGGAGCTTTACCAATGTGACACTCAGCCACAGGCAGAGGAGGGCTGGATGTGGGGCCGAGTGGTCTGTGTGCACCCTGAGCTGAGCGAGACTGTGCCCCTGGCCTTGCAGAGCAGATTCAGCAAAGGAAGCCACAGAACAGAAGTGGGGCCTCCACTGAGGGCCAGTGTGGGGCTGCCAATTCGAAGGGTTTCCTTTCCCTCTGGGCCAGTTCTCTCCCAGCTCCCTGGACGCTTGCAGCTCGGTCCGCCTGGCCCCAAGTGTTGGGGAGGGCCGCTTGGGAGGGCAGTAGATGAGGAGGCCCTGGCCCCTCACTGCCCCCCACCCCGTTGTGGCCTCACCTCGCAAGGGCAGCAGTGGATGGTGGATGGTGTTTGGTTGGGGTGAGACAGAGCCTGGTGCTCGCTCTTGGCCCCCAGGTTGCTGATGGGGTCCTGACCAACCATCTGGCGCTGCTGCTCCTGGAGAGAAGTGATGCACTTTACCAGGTCCCACTGTATGAAGCTCACGTACACAGGTGGGTCCCTCCTGCAGCCCCTGGCAGATGTCGCTGACACCTGACATCGAGCACATCCTGTCTTGGACTTCTTAGCATCATCCTCTCTTCTAGGCTGCTCTCAGCAGTCTCAGATCCTGCCACCCCCACCTTTAGCCCCATACCCAGCCCTGGCATTTCCTCTCAATCCCGGATCCAGAATGTTACCCAAAGCCTGTCTTCTGCAGGGCTGATTCAGATCTCTCTTCCAGACTCTCCTGTCCCCTGGGTCATTCTTTCTGAATGCCCAATACAGGCAGGCTTGTCCTCACTCCACTGTCAAGCCCTGGACCTAGGACAGTGCTGGCCCCAGCCTTCTCCCCAGTGAGGCAGGGGCTTCCTCTAGGGACGAGCATGATCCTCAGTTCCTGACATGAGGGCGCAGCCTTCACCTGGCTGCTCAGAGCCTTCCCTGCTCAACTGGAGGGGGTGAGCTGATGGGGGGTGGTCTCGGGGTCTAGAGCCTGTGTGTCGGCTCTTGGCAGGGTGCTGAGCTCCCAGTTCTTGGCCCTGTGTAAGCTGAAGCCCTCCCTGGTGGTTGAGCTGGCCAAGGACCTCCTGGAGTTCGTGGGAAGCGTGAGTGGCATCCACAGCAGAGCAAGCATGCTCACCAGTGTGGTAAGGCCCATGCCGGCCTCCTGTCCCTCCTGACAGACAAGACCAGGGCGTGTGCTGAGCCTCTGTTCCCGGGCCTAGGTGTGGGCCGTTGGCGAGTACCTGTCGGTAACCTGTGACAGGCGGTGCACCGTGGAGCAGATCAACAAGTTCTTTGAAGCCCTGGAGGCCCTGCTATTCGAGGTCGCCCAATCCCGCCCCTCTGCTACCCTGCCCAAGTGTCCACCACAGGTCATCACTGTGCTCATGACTACACTGACCAAGCTGGCCTCCCGCAGCCAAGACCTGATCCCCAGGTACCTAGTTAGTGAGTGGGGAGAGGAAAACCTGTTGGCCTTACATGGGGAAAGGACGTGGCTTCTGAGGTCTTCCCTGTCCCAGGTGTCTTGAAATAGTCCCAGGAGCACAAGGGTCTTGTTTGGACGTGGGTGGCTAGGTTGTGTCAGCTGGATGCACCAGGGCGGTGGGCACCGAAGAGCAAAAGCCTCCCTAGCTGGGTGCCTTCGGGGACTGGGCCTCTCCACACTGACCCTTTTCCACGTGAGGGGTGTGTCTGCAGCTGACTGGTGGGACCCTCTTGTCCCCAGGGTCTCTCTGTTACTGTCAAAGATGAGGACCCTGGCCCAGAGCCCGGCCACTGGCTCTGTGCACAGTGAGGAGGACTCAGAAGCCATCTGCACCCGGGCCACAGAGCTGCTGAACCTGCTGAAGATGCCCAGCGTGGCCCAGTTTGTGCTCACGCCGAGTGTGGAGGTGTGCGAGCCCCGCTACCACCGGGACACCAACACGGCCCTGCCCCTGGCCCTGCGCACGGTCAGCCGGCTGGTGGAGAAGGAGGCCAGTCTCCTGCCGGGGTGAAGGGACAGTGACCAGGCAGACACTGCCGCAGATTAAGAGCCTGGGGCCATCAGCCCGGTATTCGGGCCAAGCCGCAGCTTTAGTGATCAGAGAGGACTTCAGGGAGGAGTGGGAGGCCTCGGGGAGAGGAGGCCCAGGGCCAGGGTGGGCTCGGCGCCCTCAGGGATACTTCAGGCTCTTCACTTTCTCACCTTCTGGGCTTTGTCTTCTAAACCGTTTGCTGTTGTGGCCACGCTGAAGTGAGCTGTAGAACTGCTCCGTTTCGTGGCTTTAGCCCTTTTTCTGGGCTGGATGGAAGCTGCTTAGTCTGTTTCCTGCTATTCCTTGTTTCTGGACAGTTTGGGAGCATGAAGAGATAACATAAAAATCTCCTTTAAAAGGTATCCGTGTGAACAGTGTGGGGTCCTTTCCCTTTTCCCTCCCTGCACCCTGGGGAGAGGGCCAGCTACCAGGAGCCCAACACGCAGCCCCTGGAGCTGCTCCTGACCAGACACCCTGGGCCTGTTCTTCCCACTCAGTTCCCGCCGTATAGGGGCCGTCCCTGATTCCGCCCCAGTGTCCTTGGGAATACAGATATGACATTACTCGCATGGCATGCACCGTCAGGAAGTGGTGTGAATCGCCCCAGGTGGTGCTAACTACCACTTGACAGGTCACTTGCTCAGTTTTTCTTTTTAATCCCCCTTTATGCTCCCGGATAGCTTGAAGGTACAAGAAGTCTCCGGGGCCCTCACTGGGGTGGCTTGAAGATGCCGTCACCTCTGCAGTCACCCCTGCAGGTCTGCATGCAGTCTGCCGTTCCCAGGGAGGGCAGGGCCAGAAGGCTGCAGCCCACAGGCTCCAGTGAGCCCCGCCCCTGGCACTGAGACCCTACTCGCAGCACTTCGGCTGTGTGGCAAGAGGGAGAGACACTCTGGGTGTGGTGCGCCATAAAACAACACACCCCTCCAGCCCCAGCGTTTCCGCCACTATTCTGTTCAGGTCAGTAAGCTGGGTCTGTAGATCAGCTCCCCAGGGCGGCGCCCGACCTCCGTCTGAGCCGGGGACGGGTTGGCCACCAGGTGGCGCTGCTGCTCCGCGAGCCTTGTGGCCCAGCCTCCGCCCCGCCCCCATGCCCCACCCACCCTCAGGCCTCTGCCCCGACGTCCCGGCTCTTCCCCGAGATGCCCTAAGCAAGGACGCCACCGTTCAGGCGACAGGTAGGCTCCTACCAGAGGTCTGGTCCTCGAAGATTCCAGAGAAGCAGAGGTGGGCGTCCTCGCGGGTAACCCCGGGTGGCTTTGCAGATGCGCGAGTCTCTGCCCACAGCCCTCCCCAGCCAGCCCTGAGCTACGTAGCCCTCATGTCCAGGTCGGAGCCCCAGGAAGTTCTTGCTTGTCCCCACAGCCAGCCTGTGACGTCCTGACCCAGAACTCTGTCCGCCCCTGCCCCCCAGCTCGGGTCTGGGGTCATGGGCCAAGGTCAAGAGGCGGGGACAACAGGAAGGGGCTGTGTGGCACAGCAGCCATCGCCAGGCTCACCTTGTCCCAGACAGGCAGACTCACACCTGAGGACGGCCACCCACAGGAAATGCTGGAGCTCACAGTGTACTTCAGTTGGAATGTTTTAGTTGTGTTTACATGTAAATGTAAATAGTATGTTCCCATGGCAGTGCATGTGCCAAATTTATAAATGCAGAGTCACACATACATACACATGTGCATATGGCACGTGTGCCCAGGAACAGCTCTCCGTGTGGAGACATTGCTCTCCTGGTCAGCTGTGTGCCAGGTGAGACCCCCACCCCCATCCTGACACTCACACAGAAGTGGGGCTGCCTTGGCCGCTTTCTCTAGGATGAATATCCCACCAAGTCCTTAATAACCCCTCGTCCCCGTCAAGGCCCCTGGCTCCTGCCTCTGAGGCAAGAGCTTATCTGACTTGAAGTCATAGAGGCTGTCTTGGGGACTCTGGCTCCCAGGTGCTCATGGGGCCCATGGTCAAGGCCAGCTGGTACTGAATCAGCAGCCAGTGCTGCTGCATGGGGCACGTGACAGGAAATGCAGCCTGCAGGGCCACCCAGCTCATCTGGGTGACGAGGAGCTCATGGTCAAATGCCTCCAGCTGCACAAGGGGGTCTCTTAGCACAGCCCTGCTCGCAGGGAGAGTCTACCTCTGCAGGGCACTCTGGGGCAGCAGCAGAAGGCTCACTGTTCTGTTTTCTAAATTAGCCTTTAAATTTTGGAATAGTTTCAGATTTATGGAAAAGTTGATGAACCTTAGAAACATTTATGATCAGTGAAAGAACGCAGACACAAAAGGTCACATGTTGTATGACTCCGTTTATATGACATATTCACAAGAAGTAACCCCACAGAGACATAAAGTCATTGAGTGCCAGGACCCAGGGGAGGGGAGGAATGGGGAGTGACAGCTTAATGGGCATGGTGTCTCCTTTGGGGGTGACAAAAATCTTTTAGAACTAGATAGACTCTGTACTATCTTTGCAACTTCCTGACGATCTACAATTGTTTAAGTATTATTTTTCACAATTTTGTGGATTATCTGGGGCTCAGCTGAGTTGTTCTGTTCCACATGGTACTATTGGGGCTGCTCAGGGCTGTGTTCACCTGGAAGCTCATCTAGGGATGGAATGTCCACAAGGGCTACAAGGGCTGCCCTCACTAGTTCTGCACCCCAGTGGCGTGCTTCCAAAAGCGAGGTGCTGGCTAGGCCTCCCTCCCTCCACAAGGTCTCTCATCTTGTGGCTGCTGATGAGAGCTTCTTTCCACGGTAGCTGGATCCCAAGAGCGTGAAAGCAGAAGCTAAAGCCCTTAAGCCTGACTATGAAGTCCCAGCATATCACTCCTGCTGCATTCTATGGATCAGAACAAGTCACATGGCCACAGAAAACTCTAGAAAATAAGAGATAAGCTTCTCCTCTTTGTGGAAGGAACTCTTTCTTGGTGACCACCTTTGGAAATGATCTACCATGTCTTGCCTCTGGCCACAATAATGCAAGATGTACTCAATCCCCTTCCCCAAAGTTTCTCCCCCTTAAGGCATCAGCTCAAAGTCCAGGATCTCATCATCCGCACCAAATCCAGATGCAACTGAGCATCCAGTCCTATGAGACAGTCTCAACCATTCTAATGTGTGTGCCACTGGAACTCTAGAGGAATGAGAGGATGAGGCAGAAGAAATATTTGAAGGGAAAATGGCCAATAATTTTCCAAAAAACAGTAAGTTGTAAGCTGCTTGATCATTGATCACACAGAGATCCAGTCAGCAAAGGATGGAAGACATATTGGTTCAAGTCATGTAAGGTGACCTCTGAGCACTCAGCTGACTCTAAGGCAACTGAGCAGATACTACAGTGGATGCATACTACAGAGAACCGACTTTATGGGATTAATCCAGGAAAGTTACTAAACACATAAATGACACAGCAATAGCAACACACTCAGGGGAGCGGGGGAGAGTCTGATTTGCAGAGTTGCCACATTATATTGATTTAAATATTGTTAAAAAAAATACTGTAAGACACAGGCACATGCACACACACACACACACACACACACACACACACACAGAGAGGAAAGTATGGCCCATACACCGGGAGGGAAAAAATATTCAATAGAAATGGTTCCTGAGGGGGCTCAGATGGTGAACTTACTAGACAAAGACAAAAATCAGCTGGAATAAGTATGTTCAAAAAACTAAAGCAAACCATGGCTAGAGAACTAAAGTATGAGAACAATGTCTCACCAAGTAGGGAAGATCAATATAGAGATAGAAATGATTTTTTTTAAAGAACCAAATAAAAATTCTGAAATTAAAAAGCCCAATAACTGAAATGAAAAATTCAGTAGAGTGGCTCAACAGCAAATGTGAGCTGGCAGAAGAAAGATTCAGCAAACCTGAAGATGGTTTAGTTCAGATTATCCAGTCTGATGAGCAGGAAAAAAAAAAAAAAGAATGAAGAAAAAATAACAGTTTCAGAGACCTGTAAGACACCATCAAGCATACCAACATATCCATAATGGGAATTCCAGAGGAAGAGGAGAGAGAAAAAGGCACAAAAAGAATATCTGAAGAAATAATGGCTGAAAATCTCTGAAATTTGATGAAAAAATTAATCTATACATACAAAACAATCAGGGAACTCCAAGTATGATAAAATCAGAGAGACCGTACCTGGACACATCATAATCAAATTGTCATAAGACAAAAACAAAGAGAGAACCTTGAAAGCAGTAAGAGAGAAATTACTCATCACATTAAAGGAATCCTCAATAAGATTAACAGCTGACCTCACCAGAAGCCATGGAGCACAGAAGGCAGTGGGATGACATGTTCAAAGTGTTGCTAGAAAAAGACTGTCAACCAAGACCAAAAAAGACTGCCAACCAAAAATGAAGGGAAGTTAAGACATTCCTAGATAAACAAAAGCTGAGAGGATCTATCAATAGCAGATCTGCCCTGTAATCCTAAGGGGAATCCTTTAGACTGGACTCTAGAAGGCAACTCAAATCCATATGAAGAAATGAAGAGGACCAGTTATGTATTTACACTGGTAAATATAAAAGAGAGTATAAATGTACTTTTTGCAACTCTTTTCTTCTATCTAATTTAGAAGACAACTGAATAAATAATTGTAAAATTGCACTGATGGGCTAATACAGTAGTAAGATGTAATTACCATAATAATAACACAAAGTATTGGGGCAGGAACTGACCTATATTGGAGAAAAGTTTCTGTGTATTATTAAAAGTAAGTATTCATCCAAACTAGATTATTTTTAATTAGGATGTTCATTGTAATCCCTAGTACAACTACTAGGAAAATAACTCAAAAGATATTGCAAACGGAAAAACAAGGGAGTTAAACTGGTATACTGGACAATATCTAATATGAAAGAAGGCAGTAATGGAGGAATAGAGGAATGAAGACTCAAGACACAGAAAACAGTAAAGGGGAAGACAAATCCTACCTTATTACTTAAATATAAATGGATTAAACATCATGAAATGAA